ACGTCAGGAGAAATCGCCGCACCTCCTCTAGCCACCTGCCTCTCTAATTGATATCGGTGCGCACGTTCAGCTGCCGCAAAAACGTTTCACGTTACTCTATGTAAATCGGTACGAACATGCACGAGAGAGGGCGAGTATCGAAGAATTTCCTTTACTATTGTTTTTTTTTTTTTTTTTTTTTTTTTTTTTTTTTTTTTTTCTTTTCAATACGATACGGTGTTCCGTACTGAGCTCTCATGACCGAGCATTCGACGGTTGTATTTGAAGCGACCTTTTTATTACGCCGACGGGCAACACCGATATTCCACCTCGGAGAGTACGAAGCGTTGCGGTATTATAAGTTTTCCGCGACTACAACCCGGACCGGTAATTTGAGTCGAATAATTGCGGGGCACAAAAAAATATGGCCGTTCGCCGAGAAGGACGGGGAGGAGGTGGACAGAGGGCGGACGGGCATGAAAGCGGGAGAAGACAACCGGCGAAGTTACGTATGTTGGGTTTGTCAGTATGTCATTGCTGGTACCCCCGGGGCTACGAGAATCCGAGCTGGAATATCCTCTCGTCCTCTCCATCTGCCTCCTCCTTCGTTTTCTACTCCTCTTCCGAAGGGCTCATGCGCATCGACATCGACGCGAGATCGAAATTGTTCTCGCGAGCAAGCAGAAGGTCGGCGAATTTTTCGCGCGCTCATCAGTCATCGTATTTATCTCGCGGTGGACTCAACGTCAAACTTAATGGAAATGATTTATTTAGAGGGCGAGATTTCGAGGAATATCAAGTTTCGATCGTGTTATACACTTTTTACGGTACGCTCCTCCTGCGATTTATACTTTGAGCCGAGTTATTCGTATCAAGAATCTTGTTGAGCGATGGCCGTCGACCGCAAGGCCATTCGGCGAGATGCATACCGTGCGCATTGATATTGCATCTGATATTTATCGCCTTTAAACTGGACGGCAAGCTTTTTGCCGCTGTCACTTTTGTGACCAGGCTGGACCCAATGGGATGTTGAAAAAGAGTGTAATAAAACTCCTTTTCCCATCAGCACCTTACCATTCAGCTTCAACGGGCGCTATCAAGATGTACAAGCCAGATTGAAACAGCTTGATACATAATAGTTATCATAGATTACATGAGAATATATATACATATTTTTTTTTAATTTATTTTCTATCATTTTTGGAAAAGTATAAATAATAAATTTATTATTAATAATTATCGATACGACCGCGCACTCACAATCGTAAGAGATATTCTGCCAGAAGCGAATTCTCTTTCGCCGTCCATTGTAATCAGATACGCGACAATGCGAGAAAAATTCCCGAAGGCCCAGTTCATCACGACTTCTCGTGGATGATCAAGGGTGATCCGACTTGCGCGAATGGCGAATGGCTCCGGTATCCGGTTCGCCTTTGGCTCTTCGACAGGGAGAAGAGAAGAGAGGAGAGGAGAGGAGAGGAGAGGAGAGGAGAGGAGAGGAGAGGAGAGGAGAGGAGAGGAGAGGAGAGGAGAGGAGAGGAGAGGAGAGGAGAGGAGTTTGAGTTTCTGGCCGCGGGAAATGTACGAACGACGAGAGGAAGTCTCGAACCGACTGCGAAATGTAACTTTAAGGGTAGACGGTAGACAAATGCGCTGTGCGCTCTACATTGATTCCAGCCGGAAGATTGGATCGAGTTTCT